TTAGGTCCACTGGTGTCTTTAGGTCAGGTGGAGGTGACAGGAGGCCAATGAGATTTGAGATTTCTGCAGCTGTGGTTCTGACTAAACTGGATCGCAGAGATCTGACTGGTTTGACTGGTCACAGTCACCCTGGGGATTAGTAGCTGAAAACTCATTTTCTCATGATTTGTTTCTTCATTTGTTTGTTTGTTTGTCTTGTTGTTGTGTTCTTACCGACTGTCTAAGGCGTCTTTGAGTGTCTATATAAGTACTATTATTAATAAATACTGTAATACTGTGTCATGAGTTGGTCATAAACACCTTTATGAAGACACCGTTCTGACTCCTTCTCCTCGTCTGTCCTTTCAGGTGCAGCACTGTGGTCTGCTGTTCCGTCATGAAGGTTGGCCTCTGTGTGTCCATGAGAAGATAGTCGTCCAGCTCTGCCCTCTGGACCAGCGCCTTCTCCGTCCAGGTGACTTCTACCTGCTGGTGTCTCCCGCTGCAGCTCCTCCTCCCCGGTCTAAGGGCGCCTCCTGCAGGAGCGGAGCCTCAGTGGCCCCCCGCCTGCTCCTGTGCAGCTCATCGGCCAACGGCCACCATGCGGAGCAGCAGGAGGTGTCGCAGTTAGCCCTGCGCTCGCTCTTCAGCATGGCCTGGCTGGACTCGGTCAACAGGGAGAGGGAGCGGCGAGGAGCTCCGCGGCTGGAGCACTGCCTCCTGGCGGCCCACGGAGACGTGTTCAGGGTCCCCTGGGAGGACCTGGTCTATCCACAGTTCATCAGCCGACCCCGCCCCGCCGCCAGGGGGCACGAGGAGCACACCGCAAAGGACGCAGGTGTTCTGATTAACACGTCACACAATCTCCATGGAGATACGAACTCCTCAGGTCAGGACAGGAAGCTCCTCCAACATGGTACTCAAACTGGCCAATCGGCAGCAAGCAGCGAGGACGAGGACTCTGAGGGGGAATACGTGGAGCTGACGGAGCTGCCGCGCTTCTCCCCTCAGAAAGGATCCCTGACCCAGTCCATCAGCCTGCAGCACCGGGCCAGAACCGCTGCACAC